CCCCAACTCCCATATGCTAGGAGCCTCATGTTAAAGGGGTTGTTTGATATATGAGATAAATCGAGATAGTTCTTGAGTACGAAATATATTAAAATAATACGATTCATAATTCTAAAAGTTTTTGGAAATTTGTATCTAAAACACGTAATAGACATGATTTACTATTACAATAAGTAATGTTTGACCCTTGCCCCATCTTATCATTTGAGCCTTGCCTTAGGCATAAGTTTGGTGTTACTCAATAATAATCGAATTTATAATGATCTTGACTCGGATATAATATGTTAGAATTATGAGTACGCTACTATGGCTGGAGTGGTATCTGATAGCAAGGTAAGTTTATTTCTTAACAAAGTTCATTAAGTATGTGTCATGTTCGATTATGATTCAGACTCATTCATCTCCGTCGAAGATGTAATTAGAATTTAAACTCCATCGGTGCAACCTTTAGGGATGGTTGTGTGTGATATATATTAGAAAGAATATAATACACGTACCAACTTAATTTGGTATTTATTTAATTCTTTATTTGATAGTGTTTTCAACCTATGTATAACTAATTATATATCTAAATATATTTTATTCAATATTATTTTTATATACCTAGTAACCATGTCATCTACCATACAAAAGTATTATTTTTATTCTAATTCATCCTATAATTTCTATTCTAATATACCCTAATCCATTTTAATACAACAAATTAAACAGTAGATAAGAAATTATGTTAGCAACTTAGCATAACTAATCTTATCATTACTAATACACCCTATTCAGTATAACTTCGACGCAACTAATTTAATATTTTACATATCTTTAGTTTAATTTCACAAGATTCAAAAGTTCTCTTCATTCTCGTTAACTTCATACAAAATCAAAACAAAACAAACAAATCGAAACAGAAAGATCGATGATATATGTATAGACAAGATTTACATGATGTTTTTTTGAAATTGAAGTGAATGTGTACCTAGTAGGATTCCCTTAAAAAGATCAAACATAGTGAGTCAGGTTCAAAGTTGTTACAGCTGGAACAACCAAACAATTCCCAAACACAAACTAGCACAAATTGACATATATATGTACTATATGGTTACTACTCATTCTATTTATTTTTATTCCTAAATTGACAAATAACAATGTTCATATCACTCTACTCATAGTGTCTTTTATTTAAAAAAAAATAAAAAATTATTGTGTTGTTCGGATAAATTTTTATGTATTTTAATTAATTTTATGCGATTAATATCAGTTTCCACCATAACAGATATCAGATAACTCTGTCCTATGATAGATGAGAAGAATTTATCTAGTTTTTTTTTTGTTTTCGCTGAATTTTGAACGGTTCCCAATCATTACATTGACAACTAAGTCACGACATCCTAGGGTGCATGATAATGTTATTATTTCAATAGTCATTTTCATTTTCTTAAATAAGAAACAATAATTTTTATAAAATAATACTCCCTCCGTTTCATAAAAAATGACTTGGTTTGACTTGACACGGAGTTTAAGAATAATAAAGAAGACTTTTCGATCTTGTGGTTCTAAATTAAAAATAAGTTAAATGTACAAAATTGTCCTTTGATCTTGTGCTCTTAAACATGTCACGTGTAAAGTTTAAATTAAAATATTACCAAAATAGAAAAAAATCATTCTTTTTTAAACAGACGAAAAAAAACAGGTTATTCTTTTTGAAACGGGAAAGTAATTATTAGTTGGGTGAATATATAAAATATCAAACTCACAAGCTAACATGATACAAGTTAATATTCTTCAACTTCCTAATCCTCTTAAATTGTACAAGTAGTAACAATTTAACTTTATTACAAGTTAACTAGCACACAATCAATTATGCACAAAACATATAATAAAAAAATATAAAACATTTAATGAGATTCAATCAAGTTTATGAATAAAAATAGATTTCCACTATAAATTAAAATTAAAATTAATATAAAAATATCCAATTAAGGTTCATGAAAAGTACTAACAAAACTTATACTAGCTAATTATTTTTCAAATCTGCTAATACCATATAATCGAAGTCTTATATACATGATCCAACTAAACCATATATTATTTTACTAACATAATATTATTGCTAAACATATATCTCTCTCCAACTCACATAAATGAGATTTTACTCTAATAATATTTAATTGCATACCAAAATTTTAAAAACAAAAAAATTCAAAATATACATAAAAAAAAATCCTCAAAGAACATATGTTATCGAAGGTAAAACAAAAAGTTCAATATGAAAGAATTTTTCGATACGAAAATCATTCTTTTTAAAATCGACAGAAAACTCTCAATCTTTTAATAGTTTAAGTTACATATACATTATTAGTTTACGAAAATTTCACACTATCATGTCTGTCATCTCTACTTGTTACACTATATAACATGTCTTATTCTCAAAATTACGAATCTCACAGTTTGATAATAAGAAAACTTATATGGATACATGAAACATAACACATCTTATTTTCAAAATTACGAATCTCACAGTTTGATAAGAAAACTTATCTGGATACATGAGACATCTGATCATCATACTGACAGTGTATATAACTTAATAATAAGTTAAACCAAAGTTTGAAGGTACCTGAACATTAGTGGATCACTTGAAATATTTTTTGATATTTGAGAGATGGACATATTAGGATTGGCATGAAGTAACAAATATTCAACTTCACCATTATCTCCATTAAACCCTATATTTTTGCAACCATAACCATATGGATTTGCTGGACCAGCACATTGTTTTTGAGAAAAAGATTTGGAAAAAAAATTATAACTTTCATCTTCCATTTTTTTTATAACATTTGTGTCAACACCATGGTTAATAACTTTGAAAAAACCAAATTCTTCAGAGGCTTTCACTATGAGTTTTAATATTTGTGATTTCTCTAATGAAAGGTCAATGATTGGAAGTTTAATATTTTCTTGAATTTTTTCAGAAACCATGTTGGAAGTTGAGGAATTATAATTATGATAAGATGAAAGAGAATTATGAAGAGAATTAATAATGTGTGTATATTTATATATTATATTATATTATACATGGAAGATATATATGGTATTTATAATAAATATATATAAGAAGAGGAGGGGAATCTATGAGGAGGGAAAATGAGTGGCATTGTATGGGACAAAGGGTGGTGTGTGTTAGATTAGGGTCCAGTGTTCGGTCTGTCTCGACTTAACTCATTTCAGTTTAATTTATAATATTTTAAAAATTAGTAATTTATTTATTTATAACAGACGATTTACAATAATAACCTTAGAGGTAGATATTTGAGCTTTTTTCGTTGTGTGTTTTTAAAATTACAAAATTTAAGAATATTTTAGTACATTATATATTTCTATATTGCTCTTACTTTTCTTAAACTACATATACAATTAAACTAACATGTATAAAATGAAATGGACCTAAGAATGAATTTTGTACTTCAAATTTAAAAATGAACATAAATATTTGGAAGAATTAAAATAAGAGGGTCAAAACGATTGCCAGTTGGTGTGTCTGACTTTTATCGATCAATTAGATAGGCTCAATCTAATTTTATTTAATTTTAGAGAATAACGTCATTTGTCTATATATTTGCAATTGTTAATTGATTCCAAGAATAACTTAATCATTACAAAGAAATATTTGAAAAATATCGATATAGTAGTTGGTTGTTACAAAAATGTTTAATTATAAATAGAAAAGAGTACTAATAAATTCAATATATTCTTCATATAGTAGTCAATAATTCCATACTAAAATGTTTCCCTATTGTTCTAAGGTTTTGATTATAGACTACTTGAATTATTATTCATTTTTATATCACTCGGATTTAATTTAACTCGTCTATTTATACGGGCATTTTGCCAACGTGATGCACTAATTTTCAGCTGAGCAAATAAGTTTGATCGTAGGGATGTCAAATAGACGGATTTAATTAAATTCGAACGATTTCAAATTCTGAAATGATGGTTTAATAAGATAGATAGAATAGGGGATAATATTAACATATCAATCCAATATCAAATGTGAATATGAATTTGAAGTTTACAGATTCTAAACTTATGATTAAACCCCGAATTTTTCAATACAAATACATAGTTTAATCAAGCATTTAAATTCGTCTATATCTGTGGATAATACATTGGGCTAACCCATAATTTCATAATAAATTTCAAGTGAGGTATACCTCGATACATGTTTATACACTAAGATACGTGTTTTTTGATATCATATACATTGAAATAGGAAAAGAGGTCAGCGGGAATAGGATGGAGGCAAGCACATGCAAATTACACTTAATATACACTAGATACATGTATTTGTATGTATATATATATATATGTGTGTGTGTGTCTAGAAAACCAGATATGTAAATGAGTGAAAATTGAGATGCGAGAGAGGCGAACGAGATTTGTATATACACCCCAGATACATGTGAATCTAGTTGATTACCTCTAAAGCAAATAAACTAACATAAGATTCACAATATTGCAAATTAACATACATCTACGTAATTATCTTCTAAACTATTGGAATTTATGTGAGTTACCCTTCTTTTTTCCTGCTTCTTTTGTAAAACATTGTGACGGTGTCAAAAGGAAAGTATCGAGTATAGATCCGATCAAACTCAATAGATTTAGTTCAAATTTTACATTGGTAGTACCACCCCTTAGAATAAGTCCTGCAATGTGTAATCTGAATTTAATCAGAGCTCCAATCCAAACTTCAGTAGCTACGACCCAAGAAATGTAGCGGTACCGCTTTAATCGGCATGGCTTACGGTTGTAATTACGTAAACAAAACAAAAATACAAAAAGAGAATAGAAAACTCCAAATTATATATTAACTTTTGATCCAAAACTTTCTCAACTGCCACTTTCCCACCTATACTTTTAGAAACTTGAATTTTATTACACAAACCAACAAAATAAAACATCATCATTAAGTAATAAAATAGATAAATAAATAGTTCCTTTCTTCTTTCTTTCTTTCACATTTAGCTTCAAAAATGATACTTGTTTCTCTTTTACTATTAATTTTGCATCTGTTGAGTTCAAGTTGTGATGAGTATTTTATAAATGATGGAAATAATTTGACTAAATCAGATGTGGATTTAATAGAGTTTCCATTAAATATAGAGTATATGGAAGCTGAATTTTTCTTGTGGGGTTCTTTGGGGTATGGCTTAGATAAGTTTGCACCTCAACTTGTTGATGGTGGACCAAAGCCTATTGGTGTTAGAATTGCTAAACTTAGTCCTCTTATAAGAGATGTCATTGCTCAATTTGGATTTCAAGAAGTCGGTCATGTCAGGTACATTTCCTCGTTTTAATTTGTTTGTCTGATTTCAACTTGACAGAAAGAAAGCGTTGGAATCCGTTAGTAGTCTTAATAAACCAAGGATATGTAAAACATACCATGGTTTCGTAACTATAAAATTATGGTGGAACAATAACACTTATCATTCTTTTTAGAACAGACTAAAACGGACAATTTATGCAGGGCAATCAAGAGTACAGTGAGAGGATTTCCAAGGCCACTCCTAAATCTAAGCATAGAATCATTTGCAACAGTGATGAATGATGCATTTGGACATCCATTACAACCATCTTTTGATCCTTATGCTAATGACATCAACTATCTTCTTGCCTCTTATGTCATCCCTTATGTTGGACTTACAGGATATGTTGGAGCTAATCCTAAACTCCACAGTCCTAGTGCCAAAAGAGTAAAAATTATAGTTTTGACTTGGGTACATTATTTATAATGTTTTTTCATGATCTGATTGTGTAAATATTTCAATGACAGCTAGTAGCAGGACTACTGGGAGTAGAATCAGGTCAAGACGCAGTTCTAAGAACTTTGTTGTACGAGCGAGGGAGAGAGAATGTAGAACCTTATGGGATAACGGTAACAGAGTTCACGAACCGAATATCAGAGCTGAGGAACAAGTTGGGACGCCAAGGAATCAAAGATGAAGGACTTAGAGTGAAACCAAAGTTGGGTGCTGAAGGGAGCATAAGGGGCAACATACTTGCAGGTAGTGAACGAGTCTCAGAAAAAAATTTAACATAGTTTTCTTATTAGTGAAGAATATTCAACTGACCGTTCATCGCAGGGGGCAAGTACTCGCTTTCCTATGACAGAACGCCGGAGGAAATACTCCGGATAGTGTATGGGAGTGGGGACGAGAGTAAACCGGGTGGATTTTACCCGAATGGAGCGGAGGGTCGGATAGCCAAATCATATCTTTGAGTTGGATGACTCTAGTTAAATCAGAAAAATGTAAAACTGTTGCTTCCTGCCTATTCAATGTCTAATAAAAAAGTGGGTAGAAGTGATTGTTGGGTATATTTTTGGTGTGTTTAATGTCAATTTATCCCCATTTTGATTCTTCATAATGAGATACCAATAAAATAGGTTCATAAATATCCTCGTCTATCTCATCCCGATAACCAAACACCTACTTAAAGTATTATGCTTCTACCTTGCACTCCCACATGACCCCAGCAACAGCACTGAATGTGTCCAAGGTATAGCTGAAAACAAAAAGATAACACCTACACGCCTATAGTATACATAAGTCTTTACACCGTCATGAAAAGTATTGCTATTGAACTTGTGATCTTGAGCGTTCCATGACGTTCAGGTTATACAAAGGGAAAAGGGTCTGAAGAATACTCCAACTTTAGCCGAAATTTTCTGTTACGATACCAAAATTTTTGGAGGACCTTTTACCCCTACAATATTTAATAGTGTATTTTCAAGGTAGATATGTGCCCACGTGGACATATTACAATTTATATTTATGCAATATTTTCTATGGACTTTCTCCCTACCATTCTTCACTTAAATGTCAGGTGAGTTCGCAAGGCAAAATGCTCCTCAGACCCTCTAGGCAATCAGTACATAGTTAACGCAAGCAAGCAAGTAAAAAAAGATACGGTTAGTAAACAAGTTAAAAGTTAAACGCAAGCAAGCAAGTCAAACAAGATACGGTTAGTAAACAAGTTAAAATGGTTGATCCGAGTTACACGGTTCTCGTTGTGAGTGTAGTATGCACCATTTAACTAGTCCAAATATCATAACATTTGTCTACTCAGAACAACACAGAAATTAGGCTTAGAAAGCTATTTTCCAATTTAAGACTAGCTAGTGATTAGCAATTCCGACCCATCCTTAAGAGTGCTATGCCAGGCATAGTGGTTATTCATCTCAATCAACCAGTATCAATCACTGTACAGGGTATACAAATTAGGCAGTCGTGCCGAGTCACTTACATAGAACTTCTTCAGGCAGGCACAGTGTGTACCAGAAACATAGTGGCAATCGTATTCATATTTGCATAGTTTGACAATGTCACTGAATTTCAGCTTGTGATACTTTTCGGACTACTCCATGAGTTAAACCAGAAGCCTGCTCCACTGAACTACAGAATAAGAAGCAAATGAAAACTTAGCCAGCTAGAATCATCAATAAGTACAGAATGTAAAGTATCCTTTTCAGATGATTATAGATTTATAGGGTAGTACATACTCAGAAGAGCCAGACCCCGCGATGCTGGCAGCACTGGTGGATAAATTAGAGTTTCCCTGTACAATAATGAACCTATTCTCCCTTACCCCGCCCGGTTGGACTGAATCATAAAAGTTCATAGTTGAACTTCTATATGATATCCCTGCATACAATATTGTTAACACCTAATCATCAGAAACTTTGCACCTTGAAACAAAATCTTGGTTCAGCAGTATGAAGAAAAAGAGGGAATGAATGAAAAGGAGAAGAAAGAAAACAAAAGGTTGAATCAATTGCAAAAAATGTGGTTTTCAAGCGACACTTAATAGGAAAAGGTATCTATATCAAGAGAGAGAAATAGAAAAGGAGAAGAAAGAGAATAAAAGGTTGAATCAATGAACATATATTTCATGCTCACTGATATTTTAGCATCTTCTTACAGTCATGAAGATGCTCACATAATAGGAACTGCCAAACTGGTATCTATTTCAAGAGAAACAAATAGAAGTTCCCAAACAAGAACGTTGACATATATAAAGAAGTAAGGAGATAACGGACAGCTCCATTATGATTTTGCTTATGTGGTGACAAGTTATAAAGCCGTTATTAGCATTATCTACTCAAGTAACACCTTATGTAGTCACTTAAAAGCATTACAAAAGAAAAAAACTGACTGCAGGTATAAAGTGTAATTAACATGACTTGACATACTGAAGAATAAGGGAGAGTGTAAATCAATTACTTTGGCATTTCTTTTGGGGAAGTCAAATCTGTCTCAATGAATAACGAGGAGGCAATATTTTGGTGTGAAATTGCATAAAAACTTGAGCATTGATATATTTCCACTCTAAAAATAGGACATAGGAAACACAAACTAAGAAATCAAGATCTTTACCTTGAAACAATACCACAAAAAAGAAAAAAATAGTAAAGAGCAATGCAAGGGAACTGCCATTCAGTGCTGATGAAGGCGGTGACGCTTTTACTGCTTTCATTTTCTTCAAAGCCTTCATTCGCTCAATCCGTGCACGTTTAATCATTGCGAGTTCCGCAATCTCTTTAATCAATTTCTGGTCAGCAGCATCCAATGACAATCCTCTGGGAGGTCTAGGAGGTTTGGGAGGCTTCTTAGCACTCGTGGATTTACGTTTTTCTTTGATTTTTTTCTTCTCTACTAAACTTGCCTCGTCTATAAACACACTAACACTCCCCTGAGTAAGCTCATCTCCATCCTGTGTATGGTTTTTCATATTCAATCCATTTTCAGCTTTAGAAAGTTGTTCACCATCTCCATTACAGACACTAGTGAAAAGTACATTCCCTGCTTTAGCATCCAAAGTAGAATTATTATTTCCGGCTTCTCCACTCGTACTCCTACAGCTCTCAAGATCGACCTCAAAATCACCTTCTCTAAATAAGATATGATCCATAAAAACTTCACTCAACAAATCTCAATCTCGTTACATTTAAACTAAACCAAACTCATAAATCGAGAGACACGGCCAGCTAATATCCGCTATCTGCTTCAAAATACCATCTGAAGTGGGGAAAATAACATTTTTTTGCAAAGAGTGTTAAATTCCAAAGGTTAATAACAAATGCAACAAATTTACGATCTCCTACTGATGAATTGGAGCAAGTGTATCAATTCTCTAATTCTTTTTAATTGAAGTGCAGTCTACTCAGTTTAAGTACTATTCAGGCATAAGTAATAAGTCCATGTAAGTAGCTTTAGTTCAAACTTTAATATTTTTTTAATAACCCTGATGTCTGTACTAATTTAACAGGATGCTTGTCAACTCCCACCAACAACAGGTACGAGGTAACTGTGTCTACAAAAGCTAGGACAAATGAGAAGAAATCGCCTGCTATTTTTCATCTCCGCTGCAATTTGGACCTAACCTCATGGTTCTCAACCCACCTCATTGATCACTAAGTCACAACCTTGGGTGCTCAAACTCCATATCTATATTACGAAATTCACCAAATATGTACAAAAATTAAGTTCAAAATCCAGTTACTACTAACATCTGATGTCACTCCTCTAGAATTTAGAACCCATAAAGCTCGAATCTTGATTCCACTATGGTACTAGTACTTCAAAATTCAGTACAATCACCAACTATAGATTCACTACTGTAGGTTAAACAAAAAGGAAGTAGTCCTGAATTGCAAAAGAAACAGTTAAAGATTTAAACTTTAGACACAAATGAATCCTACCATCTCAATAAAACCAAAAAAAAGTAGTAGTTCCTTTTGTGAAAATAGGGAAGGAGATTACGAAAACTGGGAATCGAACTCTCACCAACAAGCACGAAACTTTATATAGTCAACCAACTAAACTACTAAGATTCTCAACAAAAGTAGCTCAATATAATCAAATCACAAAGAAACAGAAAACCCCATCAGCTAAAGATTGAACAAAAACAAAACTTATTTATCAAATCAAGGCATTCTAAATCCTCTTCAATTAAATGAAAAAAAAAAACATAGAAAATTAGTGCTAAAATTCAGATAAAGTGAATTAGGGAAAAAAGAGAGTACCTTGAGAAAAAAAGGAAGACAAGAAGCAGATAGAATAAAGTGAAAGGGCATGAAAGAAGTTTAAAATACTTGAAGGAGCCCTTTGTTGAATACTAAAATATATTAGATCTCAAATAGTACAAGTTTCATTAAATGGGGTGGGTGTTCACAGTTTGGAATAAAATATTTATATCAAAAATAATCAAATAAAATCGATAAATTTTATATATTCTTGATAGTTATGTATATAAAATATAGAGCTTGTTATTAATATTTTTAATTATTTTATATACATTTTCATCGATCATTATTATATTTATTCTAAAAAGACAAAGAGCCTATTAGGAGATATTTATATTGTTGCATGTCTATTGTCGTTTGTGCAGTTCTTGGTAGGACTACAATTGACATAGACATATAACTATTATATACATCGATAATATATAGCTTAATATTAATTAGTAATTAATAGCCTAAAAAAAATATAACGAATTGTTTATATTTTTTTTTAAATCACACGCAATCAACCGACATCAATAGAAGATGTAGAATTATCTTTTCTTTCTTAATTTTAAATTATATAATTAAAGACGTTAGCTTTTCCGTTTCTTTAAATTCTCAAACTCAATTTTATTATTACTCTAATTTTAAAAAAAGAAATATTAAACACAGTTTACAACAACATAATGCATATTTGATTGTAATTTCATCTTTTTTTTCTACCAACCGATAGCAATTAGTTTATTAGAAAATGATTACCTACTTTTAAGAAATGAAAAAATATATATTTTTAACTAACCCATTAAGAAAAGGTTATATCAACTTTTAAGGAAGGATTATTTTAATTCTTTAGACGGCGACTACTTAGGTAAATATATATATATATATTAGTGCTCAATTAATCGTGTATTAATTATCAAATAATTGTAAATAATTAATCAAATAATATAAGAGACAATGTTTTTAATTAGAAACTATAATAACACATATAAAAGAATTATACAATAATTAAAGTTGTTATTACATAATGTATACGTAAAAAAATTTATATGTATACGTAAAAAATCATTCAAAAAAATATGAGTGTAAATTTTATTGATGAATACAATAATATATAAGAATATTACCAACAATTATAAGTTATAACTTAATAATAAATAAAGTTACCTTATCAAGAAAAAAAAGAAGAAGAAGAAGAAATAGAACCTGTTTAGAGAAAAGCAAGGGGAGCAAAAATATAATTTTAAAGAAAAAAAATAGGCTATTTTATGTAAATTTAGTCTACCGCTTGCTATATATATATATATATGTTAGTGCTCAATTAATCGTGTATTAATTATCAAACAATTTAAAATAATTAATTAAATAATATAAGAGAAAATGTTTTTTATTAGAAACTATAATAACACATATGCAAGAATTACACAATAATTAAAGTTGTTATTACATAATGTATACATAAAAAAATTTATATCTATATATAAAATCATTCATAAAAATAAGCGTGTAAATTTTATTGATGAATACAATAATATATAAGAATATTATCAATAATTATAAGTTATAACTTAACAATGAATACAAGAATGAAATTACCTTGTCAACGAAAAAAAAAAGAAAAAAGAAATAGAACCCGTTTAGAGAAAAGCAAGGGGAGCAAAAATATAATTTTAAACAAAAAAAAATAACTATAGAATGCCAAATAAATTTTTTTAATAAAAGTCTTTTTTTGTCAATAAATTAAAAATAGGCTATTTTATGTAAATTTAGTCTACCGCTTGTTATATTGTGTCATTTATTCCTGAAAATTTCACAATCTCTTTCTTGTCTAGTTTTAAAATAATGAATTTTGAAGTTTTATTCACCATAATTTTAGAGATGAAGTTGTGTAATGCTAAATATTCTAACTATTATTCTTTATAAATGAATTGTTGTCTTATTTTTTCTTTTCAACGAGTCATTTATTTTATTTTCATTAATGATTAATAATTGAACAGTCGATTCGAACTAGAATTGATGAATGTATATGTTATTTGGTTTGATTTGATTTTAATAATTTAAAAATTAATTAAAGTAATTTAATTTTAATTTTGACCAATAATCAACTCAAATCTATGCAAAAACACCCCTAACTATAAATAGTAAATTTGCACAATGACATATTTGTCTATGAAAAAAGAAGTTGTCTTATCACTTATCGTACATTTTCGATAAATTTTTGTCATAAAATTTTAGATACATATTTATTTTTGAATCATTAATTTCTCTATTTCCACACTTATTATCCTACATGACTGATTCTTTCCATGTCAATTTCAAAACTAAAACCCAATCCTCTCTATACCTGATCAAATAAACAAATATTAACCTTAATTCTTAACAAATTAATAGTGTCCTCAAATGACAATCGTATAAATACATTAATCTTACTAAGCCATAACTTTAAAATAAATCTAATAATTCAAGTGTCTAAATAAAATATAACGACGTAATAAAGTATTTGCACAAATCCAGTCAAAAGTGCCAACAATGGAAATCACACACAAATACCACTAAATTCCACAAAAGCACCACAAGTAATCCTAATGCAAACTTGACAAAACAAAACACTTCCTCATGCTCTCCACTTTCTTTACGATCCTAAAATAAAGCCATTTCTCATTTACTATTTTTAGTGATACTACTACTTCCAACATATCATTCAAACGAATTAAATTTATAATACGAATTCATAAATTTTAAATTCTGAAACTGACCTGTGTACACGAATATGGCTTTGTGTGTGATGGATACCGCGCGAGCTTTAGCATGTAGAGATGGAAATGCAGCAACAAATCTCAAACTCATTTCGATATTCGTCATTTTCTTCACTAGTGTAATCGGAATAACGCTGCCGGTTTTTTTAGCCCGGTTTTTATTTCACGGCAAACCGGTTCACGATAAAGCGATTTTAATAATCAAATGCTTCGCCGCCGGCGTGATTCTCTCTACCTCGCTTGTTCACGTTCTTCCCGATGCATTCACTGCACTTTCCGATTGTCAAGTTACTTCCCGTCATCCATGGAAGGATTTTCCATTTTCCGGTCTGGTAACTTTGATCGGCGTATTAACGGCGTTGTTAGTCGATTTAACGGCGACTTCTCATGTAGAAAGCCATCAGAATCAGGCCGGAGGATATACGGCGGTTGGGGATAGTGAAGAATTAGGGATTTTGAGTAAGAAAATTGACGTTGAACAGCAACAGAGAGAGGCAGAGGAATTGGTGAAATTGAAGCAGAGATTAGTATCGCAAGTTTTGGAAATTGGGATAATTTTTCATTCTGTTATAATTGGTGTGACTTTAGGGATGTCGCAGAATCAGTGTACGATTAGACCTCTTGTGGCTGCACTATCTTTTCATCAAATTTTTGAAGGGATGGGCCTCGGAGGTTGCATCGCTCAGGTAACTAAACGTAACTGATAAAGTTGTTTCGGCAAAGCTAACGTACAATAGACATCTCAACGTCTCATCTCTATCGTGTCAGTTGAATCAGTGTTCGATATTCACGATACACAATAAGGATAAATTGAGATGTCTAGATATGTATTCTCAAATTTGAATTATTTATTCGTCAGAAAACAAGTTTTAGAATTACGTCTAAGAATTGGTAAGAAACTTGTTATATATAGCAAATGAAACTATACTAAGAACTTGATTGAATCAACCAAGTGGTTGGAGGATAAGTGTGAAAGCTTGATTTTATGAATACAGAATTATGTGTTTGAATAGAAGTATTTGAAACTGCTAATAAAGAGTTTGCATATTTGGTAAAAATTGGTATAGCATATTGTTATAAAGAATATATTACAATGAATGGCTATCATAGATTTGAATAGAAGTATTTGAAACTGCTAATAAGGAGTTTGCATGTTTGGTAAAAAATGGTATAGCATATTGTTATAAAGAATATATTACAATGAATGGTTATTATAGAGAGGTCTGCTAATAAGGAGATTGCATGTTTGGTAAAAATTGGTATAATTTTTTTTTTATAAAGAATATATTACGATGAATGGTTATTATAGAGAGTTCTGACTGTTGTTTTATTACAGGCGGGGTTTAGCTTTGGAACAACAGCCTATATGAGCTTCATGTTTTCAGTGACTACACCAATGGGTATAGTATTGGGGATGATAGTTTTCTCAATAACAGGATATGATGATACAAGCCCAAATGCATTAATCCTTGAAGGTTTATTGGGATCTTTATCTTCTGGTATACTAATATACATGGCTTTAGTTGATCTTATTGCTCTTGATTTCTTCCACAACAAATTGATGAGTGGACAACCATTCTTGAAAAAAGTATCTTTTATAGTTCTTGTTCTTGGATCTACATCTATGTCAATCCTTGCTCTTTGGGCTTGAAAATATATAGTGCAATTTAATAAACTTGTGTATCCTTTGTTTTACTTGAAATATGTATTCAGTGTAATTCTATAAGCATGAGTCTGTGAAGGTTATAGTATACAGAAATCTTATTTCTATCAATTTTCAATATACTTTCGACTTAAAATATGCATTTTCAAGTAATTTGAAAAAAAGGGAATACAGAAATGAAAGAAATTAAAATAACGAAATAATGTGTCATGAAAAAATCGTGTCATGTGCGCGTTAAAGTAATACGTTGACATACAAAGAAAAAAAGAAGGTTTTGTAGGTAGTCCCCTTATCTCAAAGTTAATTAACTACATAGTTGATATATGGTGGAATAGAGGGGTACCATCCACATTTATAGGTACGTACTTGGGACTTACCACATAGTTTTAACTAATTAACGTAGACTAAATTCAATAAAAGTGGAAAAGGCGAATTAATAGTATGTTTGACTAAGCTTTTACGATTATTATTATTTGCTTTTTTTTATTAAAAAAAATCTATCTTTTGTTTTTTTAAAAAGTACTATACACCAAGCAACTTGACATATAGATGATTCATACTAGAAAAGTGAAGTCCTCATAAGTTTTCCACTTGTGGAAACTTACCTTTAAAATTATTTAATTTCTTCACAACTTTTCATCTTTCTTATATATATATATATATATATATATATATATATAGGAAAATGGTGATAAAGAATTATTTATTTTCCAAGAAAATGAATTTTTTATAGGACAAAAAGAACTATGCTAATATATGAATTTTATCTAGTATAAGATGAAGCTAGATAAAAAATTTGTTATACTTATTGATAAGGAAACAAATCTATCCATATTGCTAAATATTTACGTCAAAATTTGATTTCCTTATTAGCACACTTTATAGGAAACCCTAACATGCATGTTGGACAACATATATACTTCTTTTCTTTTGTTTTTTCGTTCGTAGCTCGTTTTGAGACCTGACTAATTAAATTCAAAACATTGATTAACTCTTTGTAAATGTTTCTAAACCGTGTAGCAACAGTACTGATCCAGTGACAATTAACTAATCTGGTAAAGGTTTTATTATTGTTTGATAATGTGTATGTAATAAATGAGTAAAATGAGATTAATTTGATGAAAGACAAAATGATTTTACTACAAAGAATTCTACAACATGGAGAGAAAAAAATAACACCATTTAATAAAAGAACTTGCTACTATCAACTTAGCTTTCGAATAAATTGAGATCGACTATATAAATCGTACTCGCTTTTCCTACTCTTCTATAAGATCACTTCTCATACGTGATGACACCATATCTTGAAGAAGTCCATGATCATCTTTAGCCAAAGAGGAATTAGAAGAACTCCAAAACCTTTTTTCTTGTAGTGAATTATTAGTTGAAAATAAGGAAGAGGAATAATCACCATAATGACAACATCTTCCTCCACCATCACCACCGCCAACGCGGCCACCATAGGTGGTGGTTACCGGTTGAACTCCGACCCATCCACGTGGCGTTATGGGGCATGGATGTGTGTGAACACCTTCATAAGTTGTAATAACTATTGAAGTATCTTGAATTGATCTTTCAACTCTCTTTTTCACACCACATGATGATGTTGTGCAACGATAGTAGCTCCTGCATCCACAATCGAAAGTGTTTCGAAAGTGTTTCGTAGAATTTGTAATTTTAAATATGTCATGATATTTTTGGTGACTATATATAAGAGCATGTCATTAACCGTAAAATAAAAAACTTAAATTCAAATTAAAGAATGTGGAAATTTTTTATACCTTTATCAGAATATTCTTACTTGTTGTAATTAATAGGTAAACATAGAATGTATATACAAATTAAAAAAATATTGAAACATTTTGCAAATTGTATATAGATGAATATATTTGGTATATACCTTGGAAAGGGGCTATTTTTTACTGCTTTTTGTCCATATTTCCTCCATCTAAAACCATCATCCAAATGATCAATTTCACTCTTTGTCATGAATGCAAATCTTGGCTCCTTTTCCCCCTTTTGCTTCTTCTTATTAGGTTTTAACCTAAGCCAACAAAAACTCATATCACTTTTTGCAAAACTTCAAATAATCAATAAAATAAATAAATTTCTCGTATGATCATTCAACTAATAATTTTTCTCTCAAAACTTTTTTTAAAAAAAACTTTATGAGATAATAAGAGGAGTTTCTGGCCAAAAACATCATTACATATACCCCAAAACTTAAACTACATCTTAAAGTATCATTTTTAGCAGAAAACATATTTCAAGTATTTAAAAGTGAACAATTTTCATCCTTCTGTTAGATATCATCAAAAAACTATCGATACAACAAAAACATGAGCAGTTTTCACGGGACTATCAATAAAAGTTTTCCAGCATAATTTCATTACCTGTTATAAGAGGTTCTTGAAAAAAAAAATTAAAAATCTTAGACACTATTGCTTACTTAAACAAAAAATATTTAGTAACGGAACGAAGCTGGAGCTTAATTATCTTTACCATTTTTATAGTCAAATTGTATGTGATCAATATATTGATTATGTCTTGCATTTGACTTTCATTTTACATTATTAGAAGAGGAAGTGTTTATGGTGAGCACATGTACGACAGAAGAGGGAGCTGGAGGAGAAGCGCTATGAAGAACAAGAAGTTTTGAAGTTTAAGGATTAATTTCTACCAGGTGATGTCGAAGTGGAATTCATAAATAAGTTTAAGAATCTAAAATAGAGTTTTTCCTAAATTTCTATGAGAAAGTACATGAAGGCTCCAACAAACGCTCATTCAAGCATATTCAATTAAGAAGAAACATATTTCAACTAATAATATTTTTAATATCAAATTACATGAAAAATAAATTGAAAAAAACTATCAAATTAAAGATTTTGCATAATGTTAAACTCAATTCCAAGTTCACGATAGTATTTTGGTGTATCTAACAATAATAATTACAAGGGGTGACTTGTATTTTTGTGGGTAATCTGTTAATTAAGGATGAAAAATGTTCACTTTTCAAATACCTGAAGGATGTTTTCAGCTAAAAATGATACTTCAAAGACGTCATTTAAGTTTGAGGTACAGTTAATGGATGATTTTCGACAAAAAACTCATAATAACAGCGAACATTTCCGATATCAATATTGTATCAGAGCAAACATATACCCACCTTTCATTAAACAATTTCTTTTACACATTTGACCCCAAAAATAAAAATCAGTTAAATATTAGATTAATATTATGATTTAACATGGCTATAAAAACTTATCATATAGGGTTTACTTAAACTAAGTAAATAAAAAAAGAAATATTTTGCTTACTGTTTCTTATACTTGTGTTGATGATCATCATTAGCAGCTAATTCAGTTGATGATGAAGAAATCGACGATGAATTTGGTGTTACTGGTACGTTATTAATCAAATGATCAGATAATAATATCGATGATGATTCTGGAAGTGACGAACAAGTAATAAAACGTTGAGGTTGAAGTTGTTGCTGATGAGATGGAATCATTAGCAAATCGAAAATAGAACTAGTTGTAGTGTTATCATAACAATAATTTCGATGTTCGTCAACACCAAACATTGTTTCTAATAAAAAACTTAACGAATAATCTTTTTCGATATCAAACATGGCGTTGGAGCTCCAATTTGAAGTATTTGTAATCTCTGTTCTTACATTATTTTCTTTCTCCATCGAAAGAGATAATGTAGAGAATTTGTCTAAGTGTGAAGAGGACTCTTTGTGTTTATATTAGTGTAAAATAAAATTTTAAAAAAAAGGGTGGTCCAAGGGGGAATATTTTATAATTTTTCAACCTCGGAAATCGAGGTGCGAAAGTAATTTGTGTTTGATTAATAATTACGATTCAAAAATTAATATTTGACCAAACTTTTTAACGGTACTTAAGTATATACTCTTTTTTACTTTCTCAAAAATTGCTCCTACCGTTATCTCAAAACACGTTTATAAGAATTAGTTTGACTTATCGTGAAGTTTAAGAAAAAAAGAATTTTAAAATTTGTAGTTTAAATTGAATCATAGATATTTCTGCGGGTAGGAATTATTTCATTAAGGTTAAAATAAACAGATCAAAACTAAATTTATTGCAAAATATAAAACTATGTCATTCTGTTTTTTTTTTACCAACTAACAAAAAATAAATTAAAATAAAAAAATATTAATAAAATATCTTGATTTATTAAAATAAACGCTTTTAACTTCTCGAAAACTCGATAAAATGTGTCATTCAAGAGTTGGCAAGCATTTTCTCACGCGTTATTGTTGACCGGCTACCGGAAAATACTTAATTAAAATTATAATTAAATTGGGATACAAGAATGTGATTTATTTCCCTCTCTTTTTTCCCCATATATTTCTTTCTTAATTTAGTAATATTCCTTAATTATAAAAAAATAATAAATAAAAAATGATAGTTTATTAAATCACAAATTTAAATGTAATAAAATAATGGAGTAACTATAGTTAACAACAAAAATAATTTAAGAACTTAAGGTTAGTCTAGTATGAAAAGAGAATATTTTTCATAAAAAAATAATTCTTTTATTTATTTTTTAGTGTTTGATAATTAAGAAAAAAAAACATTATCTTATAATTATATTTATGTAATTTAACAATGGGAGTCATGATACACGTTATCAATTATATGCAAGCTACATCTAAGACTTTAACTAGTTTCAACACCATGCAATACATGAATTACTGTCACTGTACTGAAAATAACTTTTAACAGCAACAAATATACGCATTAGTTAGAAATGTTAAAAAAAAAATTAACATTATTCAATTATTATTAGATCTACCATTATTATAAACTCTAAGAACGAAGTATTAGTTACCGATAATTAATTACTATTAAAAGTTATTTTTATTATAGTATATATGGTCGATTGAATTGATAATCTAGACGTAGCTAGCTCCGCCGTTGAATCACATGGGTGTTTGTTAGTATTCTTGATGTTAAAATGGATGAGTTAAATTAAAAATTTTATTTTTAATATAATGAACAAGTAAAAATAAATAAAATCGAAAAATTAGGAGAGCAATTTTTTTTTTAAGAGACAAAGCACATGCTAATCTTAACGCGTTTTCTACTTACGATCTATTATTTTATTCGTTTACTTTTTCTCTGTTTTCTGTATTCTTTTTTCTCATCATTGTCATGGGCCATATATCATATATCTTTAATCTATTCGATTACTTTCTGCGTTTTAATTTATTTATTTGTATTTAACTTGATACGAAATTTAAAAATTAAAAATGAAATTTAATTTTATAATTTTAAACATGTCGTATTGAAAGTTAAAATTAAAAAGATTATAAAAACGAACGTAATTTTTTTTCAAACAAACTTAAAAGGAAAATAAAACAACAAATTAAAGTATATGAAATAATACTTCTTTCTTCTTCTTTTAGTTTTATTATCAATGTGGCAATGAAACAATGTTCATGATAAATTTTTATTATTATTAAACTATAATATAACACTATGATACTTTAAAATATAAATTAATTAAAGGTTACATTAACTTGCTTCCTTTTAGAGTTTAGACTACTTTTTTTGTCATACAAAACACAAAAAAATATGGTCAAAAAATAGTCATTGTATGTGTCCAAAGCATTCAATTTTTGATGTAAACTAATTTCTGTGTCAATTAAATTTGTCAACACGTACTTTTGAAATTCTACAAAGACCCCCAGAATACACTGTCTTTACTGAGGAGACAGTCATACCCCCACTCAATCAACGGAGGATGGTCAATTGAATATCCTTCGTCAGAACGAGTAATTTTTATAATTTTTATAGTATATCCATGAATTAATTAGTTTATATATAAAAGATTGTCATTTCTTAACTGCTACGATTTCTACTCTTGCTAATATATAGTTCAGTATATTCGTTGTTGTTATTAAAGAATCTGAAGTACAAATTTTGTTAAAATCTTGAATCCGCGTCTCCAACCCCAATGGCAGAAGACGCGTTTCTGGTCATTCAGTAAAGCCATACATACATAAATTATAGAGCAAACCATAATGAATATTTGACCTAATGTGTGAACTCAAAACCAGTACATGCGGCTGGCTACTATATATTGTATTTAGGAAACAACAAAACAAACATGATAACAGGTCAGATACTCTTTGACTCTTAGCTCACAAAATAAAGTAAAAATTGCTAAACTTGATGCAAAGATTTAACTCACTAACGATGGCAAAACCAAACAAATTCATGATTTTTGTAACAGCAGTTCAAAAATTAACCAAAAAGATATGAACCGTACTCTGTGATGCAATGTCATGTGTCTCATGATTCTTTGGGAGTGGTAGCTTGTCGAACTCTACGTTGATGAACATCCCAGTTGTATACACGAGCAGTTGTGACCTGAGCCATAGCAGATAAAAGAATAAGCATTACCGATGTTTCCAAAGATTAAAGTAGAAGAAGTTAATGCTCCCTCGGTTTCATGTTATGTGCCGTAACTGTGACTGGATACGAAGTTTAAGAAAGTAAAGAAGACTTTTGAATTTTGTGATCTGAAAGTAAAGATGTGTTCTTAAAGATATCATGTACAATGTAGGAATTAAAAATTATTGAATATCGAAAGCTAAAAAAATAGACTAAAAATGGAAGTAAGACATAAAATTGAAACAGCGGGAGCAAACAACACATTGCAATACTGCAGCACTTCAGTACAAGCTAAGTTCTACCTAGATGAGAGTTAATGCAGAAAGCTAAAATGTACCTGAGTAATTGTCACTTGATCCCTCAAAAATTGTAGATCAGCCACAAGAACCTCTAAACTGGCTTTTGCATTTTCCAAGTTTGTTTGAAGAAGGGCAGTAGCCTATACAGTGAACAAAATGTAAAGACCAATACTTCAAATATCCAAGAATGCATGCGCTTCAGAGATCTTCCAATAGCTAGTTACATACCTCTTCGCATGAATACTGTAGCATGACATTTGCCCCTAGCCATAAACACACAGATTCAGCATCTTCAATCTTAGCCCGGGAATAAATACCTTCTGACACTTCAAAATCAGCGACTAGTGCCTGCAACCAACGCGAAAAACCAAACCAGGAACAAGTTAACATGACAGTTAAATATCATAAGACAAACTACTAATAAAACAAAAAAATGGGGGGGGGGGGGGGGGCAGGTCATTGGCTGGAAGTTATTAGTGAAGTAAATCAGGGGTAGAGAGTCGAGAGATCAAAACCCTGTCTGACTTTTTTTAAAGCAATTACCCATTTAAAACTCACAATTCAACTACTTAAAGTAATGAAGTGTAAGTAATGGGCTTAATGCTTTCTCACATATATCATATAAATACGATTTTTGAATTGAAAACTTAATGCTTTCTCACAATCAAATTACAGATCTAGTTAAATAAAATAGGAAAATAGTCTACTAATCAAGATTCAACTAAAATGAAAATGTCTAAGAGTGCTTCAGTAAAGTTCCATTCATCGGAAAAACATGCAGCACTGGGACAAACCTCATTGCTGTCCTTCTTAGCTTGCAAAGTAGCAACTATATCCAAGCATTTCTCTATGTCAGGAATCTTTGCCTGCATTGAGTGAAGGAGTAGTAGTCAATTGTCCACTTGTTAGCAAAGATAACATTATAAAAACATCAAGCAGTTTAAAAGAGAAACTCTCAGAATGACTTAGACTGATCATAGAATAGATGTCAAACATGTAAAATTCAAGGATTTGAGCAATACAGCATCTAAACAGCAACTTATAAATGGCGGAAATGAAAATTGTCAAAAATGTATGAGGCAATCTATATTTAGCAGGCTGGATTAAGAGGACACTCCCAATTCTATTATGCATAAGATGTAACGGTTCCTTTACACCACCATAGTTGGAAACTGTTCGCTATGCATATTTGGTGCATTCGGACAGAGAGAAAGAGACAGCAGTTTCAGAGGAAAGGCAACTTCCAGCTTTTAAATCTTCGTTTTTGGTTGGTAGATCAATAATGCTTCATAGGTGGCAATAGTGATGTTTAAATATTTGGATGGAACTTCTTCTGTATACATTAACCTAACCTGTCCATATTTCAATGGTCTTTTTGTATTGGGCAGGTATTCCCCCCTCTGTGGCAATCTTATGATATGAATTCAACCTCTACATGTCAACAAACAAAATCCCTTGTGATGGAACTTCTTCTGTATACATTAACCTAACCTGTCCATATTTCAATGGTCTTTTTGTATTGGGCAGGTATTCTCCCCTCTGTGGCAATCTTATGATATGAATTCAACCTCTACATGTCAACAAACAAATTCCCTTCTGTTATCGAATTCTAAAAATGAATCAAGAATTAAGTAAAACAAAACCCGCACTGACAGCTTCAAAATGTGGAGAAACCTATATATAATAAAGGAAATTGTAAAAAGGCTTAGGCTTCTATATTTTGAGGATTCATGTAGTTGACCCCAACTAGCTTGGGATTGAGGAAATGTTGCTGTTAAAAGTCATTACTCTGAAGAGTGACGAAACTGTAACTCTCATACGTTGGTCCCATTATAACTAAGTTTGGGCATGTGCTAAGAAGAGTATCCTATACATGGCTTCTGCATGAAGCAATAGATTCCAAACGCACATTCTAAATGTAAATTCTATTTTGATTTCTTTCAATGACAAGGGAGGACTATCTCAGCTTTAAGACTTCTCATCTCGGGAATCGCAGCACTAGATGCAAAGACTAAAGTACAATTCTCTAATTTCCGTCAACCTTACGGAAGAATCAACAAAGGGCCAGAGTGACATAAGAACATCTTCTCTTTTGAATTGCATTATGACCCTCTCAATTCAAAGTACAAGTCAA